TGTATAACCTGTATGGACTTGCTTGCCTTCTCAATGAGGGTGGGTGGGGAGGAGGGAAAGGAGAGAATTTGGAGCCCAAAGTTTTAAAAACAAATATTAAAAATTATTTTCACATGCAACTGGGAATAAGATATATAGGAAATGGGGTATAGAAATCTCTCCTGCCCTACAGGAAAATAGAAGGGAAAGGGGATAAATGAAGGGGGGAGAGATAGAAGGGAGGGAAGATTAAGGGAAAAGATATTCAGAATGTATGCCATCTTGGGGTGGGGAGAGGGACAAGATGGGGAGAAAATATGGAACTCAAAATCTTGTGGAAGTGAATATTGAAAACTAAAAATAAGTAAATTTGTAAAAAGGGACATCCCTCCATTACCCTAAAATTTAAAAAAAAAACTTTCCTTATGGTCAGTGGGTAGAAGTTATTGTGCACAGTTGCTTTTGTTTGTCTTAGACTAGAGGAACAAAGAAAGATTCTTTGCATTTTTCTAATTATATTTAACTTAAATACATAACCAGACATCAAAATGAAATCATTTTCATGCGCCCAAAAGAGCACAATAAGAATGTTGTGAATGAGTATGTGTATTTCCATTTCTTACCTTTTGCTCCTTTATATACATATATATGTATGTACACACATGCACACACATATATATACATACACACACATACACACACACATATATGTAAAACTTCCCTCTGTTACTTTCAAAACTGCCCTGATGCATGTTCCTCCTTCTGGACATTCTCTTGTTCTCTTCTGCACATTTAAAAAAAAATGTATGAATGTACCCTCTCTTTAACATTACTATTTTTACTACTCTTGCCTATATCCCACTCTCCCTTCCCATTAAAAAAGGAAACTTACTCAATAAATGAGGTTCAGGAAAATGAATCCAGGTGATAGACATGCTCACAAATATATACACCTGCTCTTGTGTCCATTATTTCTCAGTCAAGAATTGGATTCAATGTTTCATCAGCAGTCCTCTGAAGACATATTTTGTCATTGCATTGTTCAGAGTTCTTCAGATTTTCAAAGTTGTTTTTATTTGCAATATTGTTTTCCTTGCATAAGTTATTCTCCTGGCCCTACTTCCTTCACTCTGCATTAGTTCATATTACCCAGGATTCTCCGAGTTCATTCATTTGCATTTGAATATGGTGCAATACCATTCCATCATTTTCATTTGCCACAATTGATGCAGCCAGTCCCCAGTTGTCTAAAGGACAGTCGAGGACACCTCCTTAGATTCTTGTTCTTTCCTTCTCTTTCCCTTTTAATTCCCTCTTTAAGATTTGGAAGTTAGGTTTGCTATTCAATATTTCCTCCTTGCTCTGATCTTCCCTCTTAACCAACTCCACCACAATCATTGCTTATTTCTCAATTCAGTTACCTGCATAGAAGTGAAAAATTGAACCCAAGGGAGCTGATATGAACCCTGAGAAGTGGAGAGCATAGAGAAGAAGAAGAGGGCCAAGATCAGAGTCCTGGGGAGGTGGAAGGATTATCTGGCAAAGTAAACTATCTAGAAAATAATCCAACACGTGTTGAGAGAGAGGACCATGGGGAATATGAGAAGAACATAAAACCATAACACACTGTTCCTAAGAGGTTCAAAACAGAAATAAGAATTATAAGGGGAGAATATATGATCTCCACAAGAAAATATAACAGGAGACTCACAAACATGGATCACACTGTCTAACCAATGAATGCAAACAGTGTTTACAGAGAATGGTCATACAGAAAAGGAAAGAAAGAAACTAGCAGGAAAGAATGTAGGCTGGTTTGTTGTCTTTCATTCTCGAAGAGGACCAAAATGACATCACTGTGACAGAGTTAAGTTTGAGTGTGTCTGACCGTCGCTGATCAGATCGATGTGAGTTTGGAATGCTCTACCAGAGGTCAGGCACAAATAGTCTGTGTAAACGTTTGGAGTGAACTCTAAATTTGTGCATCCTGTGTTTCCTCTGAGCTATTTCAATTCTGCTTTGCTCATAGAGCACAGCACTTTCTCTGATGAGGGTACACCATGCTGAGTGGTCCTGTGCCAGTGTTGCCCATGTCACACAAATAATTCCAAAGTTCTTAAGAGAGACCTTGAGAGTGTCCTTGCATTGCTTCTTCTGAGCACCGTGTGAGCACTTGCCCTGTGTGAGTTCTCCATAAAACAGTCTTTTTGGCAAGTGTTCATTTTGCCATCAAACAACATGGCCAGCCCATTGGAATTGTGGTCTCTGAAGCAGAGTTTGAATGCTTGGCAATTCAGCTCAAGAAAGGACCTCAGGGTCTCTTATCTTATCCTGCCAGGTGATCTTCAAAATCTTTTTAAGACAATTCAAATGGAAGTGATTCAGTTTCCTGGCTTGGTGCTGTTATTACTGTCCAGGTTTCACAGGCATACAACAATGAAGTGGGTGCAACGGCTCTGTAGACCGTCAGTTCGGGAGTCAGTCTAATATCTCTTCTGGCAGTGGTGGAGAGGGAATCTTCCTCACAGATACAAGGCAGAAAAGAGTACTTGTGGTCACTCATAGACTAGAGCACGGATCACAAAAGGAGTAGACACCTCACCTTTCATCACACCTATAAACAGCTGCACAAAACCCTTGAAGCTTGGGACAGTACATTTTCCCCACTGGAAGCAGAACCCTACCTTAACAAAGAGTTTAATAGTCAGGTAATTGGCGGCAAACATGAGCAAACAGACATCTTTGAAGGATAGCTTGGTGGTGTAAATATATTAGGCCTGACTCCCCTGTGTTCACATGCATACCCCAAGGTCAGCTAATTCCTTAAGGCAGAATAGAACAGTGATTAGCAGGAGAGATGGATTTTTAAACTTAACTCATTACACACCGGCTGAAATCTCAAGTTCAGAGAGAGAGAAAAATGACTACAGCAGTTATAGGAAAAAATCAATTAATTGTAAATAGGATCAATAAAGACCTTGACAAGAAATTTGATATGGAAGGTGTAAAGAGTCCTCTCATTGAATAAGCTTCTAGTTTTTCTTCATTACCAAGAATTCTAGTTCTAGGATTTCTGTAGATATAATTTACCCCATTAGGGAAAGGTTTATTTATTCCTATATTTTCTAATGTTTTTTAAAATATAAAGGTGTATTTTGTCAAAAGTTTTTTTCTGCATTTATATTTTATAATTATATGTTTTTGTTGTTAACTTGCAATTTTATACTTTTCCTATATTAAATTATCATTGAATTCTAAAGATAACACTCAACCTGATGACATGAATAATATTTTATGTATATGGCTGAAGCCTCTTTGCTAATATTTTATTTTAGCATTATCTACCAATATTCATTAAAGATAATCTTACATTTTCTTTCTCAGACTTTTCTCTCCTAGGTTTGATATTAAGATGATATTTATCTCACAAAAGAAGTTCCACAAAATGCTATATCTCCTTGACTCTGCTGACTTCATTGTTGTATGTCTGTAAAACCTGGACAGTATACCAATGCCATGCCAGGAAATTGAATCACTTCCACTTGAATTGTCTTAGGAAGATTCTGAAGATCACCTGGTAGGATAAGATACCAGACACTGAGGTCCTTTTTCAAACTAAATTGCCAAGCATTCAATCTCTACTTCAGAGAGCACAACTCCAATGGACTGACCATGTTGTTTGAATGCCAAATGTATGTTTGCCAAAAAGACTTTTATGGAGAACTCACACAGGTTAAGTGCTTAAATGATGGTAAGAAAAAAACAATATAGGAACACTCTCAAAGTCTCTCTTGAGAACTTTGGAATTGATTGTGTGACATGGAAGACACTGGCACAGGACTGCCTAGCGTGACATGCCCTCATCAGAGAAGGCGGTGTAGTCTATGAGCAAAGCAGAATTGAAGTAGCTCAAAAGAAATGTGAGATATGCAAATTTAGAGATTCCACCACAAATGTTTACATGAACTATTTCTGCCTCACCTTGGGTAGAGCATTCTGAGCTCATATTGGTCTGATCAGCCACAGTTGGCTATACTGTGACTTGACTGCAGCATAGTGATGTCATTTTCGTCCTCTTCTAGAACAAAGGACAGTAATCAACCGAAAACTTTGCAAATGATTTATGCAAACCTTGAGTTCACTTTTTTGAATATTGCATAAAATTCACTTGTAAATACATTTGGTCCTAGGATATTTTAGTCTTAGTCTTGAGTCTTATTTATGTATTTTTTCTTCATTTATTTTTCTAATGTGGGGTAATTTAAATTTTCTATTCCTTCTAATAATCTGAGTATTTAATATTTTTGAAAATATTCACCCATTTTATTTCTAATCATTGTGCTGACATATAACTAGTCAAAATTCTGTCTGGTAATTTCCTTTGTTTCTCTTTATTTTTCCCTTTTTACTTTTTAATATTGGAAATTTGATTTTAATGACCCTTTTAAAATCAGATAAAAGTTGATCTACTTTAGTAACTTAAATGTTGTTAATTAAAAGCTCATTTTTAATTTTATTTCTTTTTTCTATGATTTTCAGAATTTCTGTTTTTGTGTGAATTGGCTTTTTTGACTTGTTAATTTTCAGGGTTTCTTTTAGTTGCATGACCAAGTAAGTGATATGTTCATTCTCTGTTTTATTGATGAAGGTGTTTAGATATCCACATTTGCCTCTAAGGGTTGCCTTGGCTTTGTCTGAAAAGTTTAGAATTTTTATCATGTTATTATAATTTTCTTTAATTAATTCATCTATTGTTTATTTGATTTCTCTTTTGACACATCATTTTTTAATATTTAAATATTTAGTTTCTATTCATGTTTGAATACTTTTCTTAAATGCCATCTATTGATTATAATTTTACTGTGCTGTGTACAGGAAGGGATACATTTATTATTTTTGTTTTTCTGCATATTTATGAGAATTTTAGGCCCTCACACATTCCTAGTCCTTTGAAGGGGCCTTCAATAACTGACAGATATGTAAATACTTTCTTTTCGTATTCACAATCAGCAAGAATCTATTATATTTATATTATTCACTATTCCAGATCTGTCCTTGAATTCTTTCCCATTCATTTTATTATTGCTGTTGTTTTTTCTATATGATTGTTGTTATATGCACCACTTACTTTCAGTGGCATAACTAGTAGTTTGCAAAGTTTACATGATTTTGCTTATTTGTGATTTCTTTCTGCTCTCTTCCCTCTGTTATTTCTTTTTTGCTTAATATGCCTCAATGGCCCTCTTCTTTCTTTCTTTTCTCTTTTTTTGCTCTCTACTCTATTACTACCACCTCTCATTTTCCTAAAAATCCCCCTACTTTTCAAAAAGAAAAGCAAAAGAAAAGCCTTTATAAAAAAAATACATTGTCAAGAAAAGTAATTGCTGCCTTGGGGATGTCCACTGTGCATGTCTTATTCCCCATCTTGAGTTCATCATCCTTATGTCAAAAGGTGAGGAACATAATTATCAGTCCTTAAAATTACAAATAAAGTAAAGCATAACTAAAATGAAACTGGCAAAGAAATGTGAGAAAATTACTAATATTCAAACCTTAAGCTGTGATTAGTGAAATTTTATTTTTGGTTGTTAAAAAACACTTGGGAGTATGTTCAATATTGTTTTGGGTTTTGATTACATGGATAGATGTCTGAATTGCCAAGCAGTCAATACTAGAAAATGGCATTGCTGCAGTCTGAGAACTGTTCCAGTTGGATGTTGAGAAAATTTGAGGAGATGACCCAGGTATATTCTAAGGTAGGACCATTTTGATTCAGTTTCTTCATTATGCTATTTTCTTTCTGAACAGATTGCCCTAGCTAGTTAATCTTGAGTATAGTTTGTAATGCCCCATGAATAATGTGGAGTTGTATAATACAATTGGTTGTCAGAAGTGACTTGTTCCTGGAATTAAACAGAGATAAGGGAGTTTTCCCCATTAAGATACATGTCATGTCAGTCTCTGTCTTTGAGGGGACAATTCCTGATATTGTTAAAAACTATACCCCTCCTTTTCTTTTCATAGCAAATTTCTAAAATCAAGGCCAAGTGAGTAATAGAAACTTTGTAAATATAATAATAAATCTATCAATAGATTGATACTGGGACATCTCTGAGTTATTATAATAAGATCTAAGTATGAAAAATCTTACAATTTTAATCTTTATTTGTCATCAAATTATAATATAGGGATGATATCCTCCTAAAGGGGGCATTAGACAAAGTAATAAATCAAAGATGTAATGGAAAGTTTTTCATTAAATGGAATAGTAAATTTTGAGAAATGAACAAGATTAAACTGTTTCCTCTAAGAATTATATACATATGTATATGTTTGGTTTTCAAATGTATCTATTAGGGAAATTCAGGTTTTATGTGTGTTTTTATAATGGGTTCTCCAAATTGGATTAAGAATTTTACATATAGTTTTCTGGCGGTGAAGATCTTCCTGTGCCAACATGCCTCTCCCAAAAGACCTCCTGCACCCTTATCCCGAGGTGGAGAAGCAGAAACACAAGAAGAAGCAGCTGGTGCAGAGTCCGAACTCATATTTCAAGGATGTAAAGTGCCCGGGGTGCTATAAAATCACCACTGTCTTCAGCCACACACAAACAGTGGTTCTCTGTGTGGGATGCTCCACGGTGCTCTGTCAGCCTACCCGGGGAAAGGCAAGACTTACAGAAGGATGTTCCTTCAGATGGAAACAGCACTAATGACTGCATCAAGATGATTGAGAAACTGTAAAGAACAAAACAAATTTGATACAAAAAAATAATTTTACATATAAATTCGCATTGATACTTGTAAAGAGAAATTATTTCACCATTTTAAAGTATCTAATTTTAAAAGATATAAGGGTTTATTTTATGACTAAGATTCTAATGATTTAAAAAAAAGAATCATATATCAGGAATAGGGTTTAGGTAAAGATGAAAACCACAAGTACTATTTATTTTTTCTTTTTTATAAAATTTTAATTACGTGTCAAGACACTTTTTTTAACATTCAATTTTTCCAAGATTTTGAGTTCCACTGTGTCCAAAGGGCTATAAAACTGTATGAACTCAACTATAAAACATTTTTCACACAAATGTAGTCAGATCTAAACAATTGGAAAAATATTCATTGCTCGCACATAAGCCCAGTTGATATAATAAAAATGACAATTCTACCTAAATTAATTTATTCAGTGCCATACCAAACTACCAGAAATACAACTACATACTAGTTCTGTATCCCAAAGAAATCAAAGAAAAAGGAAAAGCATTTGTATATACAAAAATAATTATAACAGTTCTTTTTGTGGTGACAAAGAATTTCCAAGAGGCTCATTGAGAGGGTGCCTATCAATTGGAGAATGGATGATCAAGTCGTGTATTATGATTGTGATGGAATCCTATTGTGCCATAAGAAATGATGAGCAGAGTCCAACTTTAATACAAAATTGAAAGTTGGAGGGGAGAAAAGGCAGGAACTCTCCTGAGCTCTCCCCTAAACCCCTCCAAACACCTTTAAATAATGCCCCCAAACAAATCCTGGAATGGCAGAACTCACAAAAAATCAGGGTAAAACAATTTTCCAGCTAAAGACAACTTAGAAGGCTACCAGGAAAGGTCTGTCACACCAGGTTGAGGGTGGAGCACAATCTATGCACAAGCATAGATTGAGTCCAGCAAATGAGGAGCAGGCCTTGGAAGCCACTGAATCAGCAGTGGCACTGGCAGCAGTTTGTGGAGCTCAGTCTACATACAGTAAAAGGTCAAACAACTGGTTAGAAGATTACAGGGGGCTCTTTGCTGGCACTGGGGACAGGAGTCTGTTATTTTGCCCATACTCAGCTATGAGTCTCAGTCAAGGGTGACATTCCAAGGTCAAAGAGGAGTAGTAGCACAGCAGAGCTTGAAGCTCCAGTGGAGTGGGGACCCTCCTCACAATTCTAGGGCAGAAAAGAGTGCTTGTGGGTCACTGAATTAACAAACAGCAAGCCATGGGGTCAGCTCCTTTTGGAGGTATATTAGGTCTCAAGAAATTTCATCTCATGAACTTTTATCTCACAGCTGTGATCTAACAAATAACAGAGTGCTGAGTGAGGGAAGATTAAATGACCCCCTCTGTTTCTGAATGCCAGGCCTAGAAAGGCTGACCAGATGTGATTCCCAGTTGCAGCTATGGATTAGGATTAGTTAGCACATGACCATTGAGTGCAGAATTGCAGAGAGCAAGAACATTTTCAGAATAGTATGGTTGAGGGCCCTAACTGTGGTTTAAAGGAGGAGAGGAGTCCCTGAGGTTGAACCCCCAAACAGAATTCAGAAGATAATAGTAAGGAGGACCTGAGGCCTGAAACACCATTATCCATAACTCAAGATTAAATCTGATTATAATAATAAGCTGCTGAAAACAAAAAAAAGCAAAAGAAAAAAGAAGGTGACCATAGATAGCTACTATAGTACAGAAGAAGGTCTGGGTTCATATTCAGAAAGATAATGAGGTTAAAAAAATATGCTGCTCTTACTCCAAAGAGTAACACCAAATGATCACAAGCTCAGAGATCTTGAAAGGAGTTAAAAAGGAATTCGAATATCAAAAAATGAGAGATCAAGGTAAAATTAGGGGGGAAAAGCAATCCAAAAAAATTATGAAAAGGAAGTTAACCAGTTAGAAAAAGAGGTCCAAAATCTTAGGGAAGAAAATAATTTCTTGAAAACTAGAATTGGGCAAGAAGAATCAAATAAGACACAAAGAAATAATAAAAGTAGAAAAATTAGACCAGAATTTGAGACATCTCATTGGAAAAACAACTGATCTGAAGAACAAGTGGGTGAAAAACAATATAAAAATTGTTGGACTACCTGAACATGATGATAGAAAAAGAATCTCAATACAATATAACAAGAAATTATTAAAGAAAATTGCCACAAAGTTCTACAACATGAGAGTAAAACCGAAATTGGAAAAAATCTACTGTTCACCTCCTGAAAGAGATACCAAGAAGACTTATAGGAATGTCATAACTGAGTTTCAAACCACCCAGGTGAAGGAGAAAATATTGTAAGCAACAAGAAAAAAAATTAAATACTGTGAAGATACGGTCATGATTTCACAAGCCCTAGCACCTTCTACACTAAAAGACCATAGGTCTTGGAACATTATATTTTAAGAGCAAAAGAACTGGAATTGCTACCAAGAATAACATATGCAAAATAGTTGAGTAAAATACTGAATGAAAAAAAATGGACATTTGACAAACTGAAAGACTTTCAGGTATTTCTGACAAACTGAACAGAATTCAATAGAAAATTTGATATAAAACATCCAGAATAAATATAAGGAAAACATTAAAGATTCATTACAAGGAACTTATTAAGGTTAAACTGTTTGCTTCTTATATATGAAAATATATTATCAGTATTCTTAAAACTATCATCATTACTAGGATAGTTTGAAAGAAAGGTTGAGGTTGAGTTGTGTATGATGGGGTGATTATAATGATGAAATTGGGAAGGAAAAGATAAAAAAGAGCAATTATCTCTTAAATGGAATGTGAAAGGAAAAATTGATACAAAGGAAGTAGGTGGAGGTAGAGGGCTGGTTATGGTGAACCCTTACTCTCATCAAATCTGGGTTGTAGAGGAATCAATATGTACATCTAGAAAAGTGTAGAAGTCCTGTGGACTTGCAGAAATGTTAGTGGTTTGGGGACAGGGTGTGAGAGGGACTTTTAGAAGGGTGTGTAGATTAAGATTTTGGAAGGTGGGAGGAAAAGATAAGGTAATAAGGATAGGATAAAAAGAGAGGATGAGGGCAAAAATGAGTAAAAATAAAATGTAGGGAAATTCACAAATAGTAATTATAACTTTGAACGTGAATGTGATGAACTCACCCATAAAATAGAAATGGGTAGCAGAATGGATCAAAAATCAGAATCCAACAATATGTTGTTTATAAGAAAAAAAAGCATTTAAAAATGAGAGACAGAGTTAAAATGGAGGATTGGAGTAGAATTTATGCTTCAGCTGATGCAGAAAATGCAGGGATAGGAATTACTCTCTCAAACAAAGTTATGGCTAAATTAGATTTAAATAAAAGAGATAAAGAGGATAGCTACATTTTGACAAAAGGTACCATAGACATTGAAGCAATAGCTATACTGCACCTATATGCACCAAATATTATGTCATCTAAATTTTTAAAAGAAATATCAAATGAATTACAGGTTGACACAGGTAGTAATAATATAAGTCAGGAATTTTAATATTTCCCACTCAGAATTAAATAAATCTAAGCAAAAAGTAAATAAGAAAGAAATCAAAACAGTGAATAGATTTTTAGATAAGCTAGATATGATAGCTATCTGGAGAGAACTGAGTAGAAACAGAAAGAAATACATCTTTCTTAGCAGTTCATGGTACCTTTAGAAAGATTGACCATAAATTAGGACATACAAATTTTTAGTTAAAAGCAGAAATATTCAACTATTATTTTCAGATCACAAGGCCATAAAAATTATATTTAATAAGGGACCTTAGAAATGTAGATTAAAAACTAATTGGAGATTAAACAACCTAATCTTAAAGAATGAGTGAGTTAAAGAACAAATCACAGAAACAATCAATAATTTCATTAAAAAGAATGACAATAATGAGACAACATATCACAACCTATGGGATACAGCAAAAGTGGTGATCAGAGGAAAATTTATATCTCTAAATGCCTACATTAACAAAAGAGAAAAAGAGCAAACCAATGAATTGGGTATGCAATTTTAAAAAATACTAGAAAAAGAACAAACTAAAAATCCACAATTAAACACTAAATTGGAAATCCTAAAAATTAAAGGTGAGATTAATATAATTGAGTGTATAAAATCATTGAAATAATAAATAAAACCTGGAGTGAGTTTTATGAAAAAAATCAATAAAATAGATAAACCATTTGTTAACATGATTTTAAAAAGAGAGAGAAGAAAACCAAATCACTAGTATTAAAAATGAAAAAAGTGAATACACTACTAACAAATACAAAATTAAAGCAATTATTAGGGGTTATTTTGCCCAATTGTATCCAATAAATTTAACAATCTAAGTGAATGGAAGAATATTTACAAAAATATAAATTGCCTACATTAGCAGAAGAGGAAATAGAATATCTAAATGCCTGTTTTAGAAAAAGAAATGGAACAGGCCATGGATGAGTTTCCTAAGAGAAAAGCACCAGGAACAATGGACTTACAAGTGAACTCTATCAAACACTTAAACATCAACTAATTCAAATATTACTCAAATTATTTGGAATAATAGGCAAAGAAGCGATGCTTCCAAACTCCTTTTATGAATCAAATAGGATATTGAAACCTAAATTAGTAAGAGTAAAAACAGAGAGAGAAAATTATAGATCAATTTAATCAGTGAATATGGATGGAAAAATCCTAAATAAAATTCTAGCTAAAATATTATAATCATATATTACAAAGATTACATATCATGACCATGTAGGATTTGTACCAGTAATGCCAGGATGGCTTAACATAAAGAAAACTATTAATAATTGATTATGCCAATTATAAAAGTTCTTATAAATCATGATTGCATCAATAGATGTAGAAGAAGTTTTTGATAAAGTACAACACTCATGTTCATTAAAAACTCTTGAAAGCATAGGTATACATGGATTTTTCCTTAAATTGATAAAATGTCTTTATCCAAAACCATCAGCAAGCATTATTTTTAATGG